TTATTAGTTATTGGCTGGGAAATTCTGGGAGTTAGAGTCCAGCTATTTTAAACAATGCTGGCTGGGGAATTCTGGGAATTGAAGTCCACACATGCTGGCTGGGGAATTCTGGGAGTTGAAGTCCACTCAGTTAAAGCTACTGAGGTCGAGAAAATTTGCTCTAGTCTACAAAGGGCTGCTGCTATGCTGCACACTTGACCAGATCAGATGAAAACCCTAACACAAGGGTAGGCAACCTTGGCTCTTTTATGACTCGTGGACTTCAACTCCCAGAATTCCTGAGCCGGCATGGCCCAGCTTGGAAACCTCTCCCTTTTTCCTCAGCGTGCCTGGCTCAGGAATTCTGGGAGTTGAAGTCCACAAGTCATAAAAGAGCCAAGGTTGCCTACCCCTGCCCTAACAGAGGCCTTCACACGACACATTGCCCATGATTAGCGATAACCCTGGTGAAACCTCTTTTGGAACTTATGTCAATTGTATAAACCCAGTTCCTTTGGTCATAATAATAATAATAATAATAATAATAATAGTAATAATAATAGTAAAGTTGGAAGGGACCTTGGAGGTCATCAAGTCCAACCCCCTACTCAGGCAGGTAACCCTATACCGTTTCAGACAAATGGCTGTCCAGTCTCTTCTTAAAAACTTCCAGTGTTGGAGCATTCACCGCTTCTGGAGGCACTTCACCTGATCTTGATTCTATCCCTCTGTTAATGCAGCCTAGCATTGTGTTGGCTTTTTTGGCAGCTGCAGGACACTGCTGGCTCATATTTAAATGATTGTCCACTAGGACTCCAAGATCCCTCTCACAGTTACTACTATTGAGCATTTGGTTTTTCTTGCCTAAATGTAGAACCTTACTTTTTTCACCCTTGAATTTCATTTTGTTAGATAGCGCCCAGTGTTCAAGTCTGTCCAGGTCCTCCTGTATCCTAAGCCTGTCTTCTGGAGTGTTGGCTATTCCTGCCAGCTTGGTGAATAGTTGAATGTAACCTGGGAAATGGGTTAATTCAGTAGCTGGGGTCCGCAGGCAGTGGGGAAGGGGGTTCAAGAAGCTCCAGAGGCTTTATAGATCAGCCGTGGTCCTCAACTTACGAAGAACATGGGACAAATCATGGAGGCCAGCAAAATCCCAAATTGGCTGGGGGGGGGGGCTCTGGAAATCCCTGAGACGGCTGAGCAAATCCCCACATTAGCAATGGAAGAAGACATGGCAAGAATGTTTCTGCCCAATTCTAGGATCCACTTGGATATATTTTTTTGCCTGTGGTTGCAATTTGGCAGATCCTTCCTTTCCTGCCCTCCCTCCCTCCCTTGTCACGCCCCCCCCGAAACAAACACCTTTTCCAACACCTTGTTTTTCTTTTTTTTTTCCAGACAATCTTCCTTTAATACAAAGTCAATATATATATCTACATACAGAGTGGCGTGGCAACCACTTCAGACCGTTTTCTGTTTGGAATCGCAGGCTGCTGGCGCCAGGGCGCTTTCACAGAAAGGAGGGGAGGGGGGCCCTGGGAAGGAAAAACAGGGAGGCGGGTCCCGTCTACACCCCCCCCCTCCGACAGCCCTCCCACACATGAACTTTTTCCTCCTCGGCCCTGCCAAACAAAATAAGCTTTTCTTTTTCTTTTTCAAATGGCCAAAACCTGTAAAGAAAGTTTAGAGAAGGGGGGGGGGAACAGGGGAAAGAGTTCACAAATATATAGCTGGCTGATGAGAGCTAAGGAGCTTGAAATAGCTATACCAGCTTCCCTTTAACTCTTTGTTAGCAATCCAAATTTAACATATATATATATATATAAGAGATATATCTTTTAAAAAATACCATTCTGATCAAGCCAGGAGAATCTATTTCCTTGCCTCCCCCTTTTAAAAAAAGAAGAGACAGGTTAACCTAGATCAGTGGTGGTGAACCTATGGCACGGGTGCCAGAGGCGGCACTCAGAGCCCTCTCTGTGGGCACACACGCCGTCGCCCCAGTCCTAGGCCTTCAGCTGGGTTTTATAAAACCTTTTCGCTTTAGGCCTCCACCGCCGTGTGCAAAAAAAAAAAAGGTTCAATCAATCAGTCAATTTCAATTTCTCGCGGGAAAAAAAAGATCTTGCAAAATTGGAATTGATTGATTGAACTTTTTAGTCCCACCCAGTCTGCTGTTACCACCGCAGCCACGCCCATCCAATGGGCCACACCCACCCAATGGGCCACACCCACCCGGCACCCGACGATGCATAAGTGGGTTTTGGGTTGCAGTTTGGGCACTCGGTCTCTAAAAGGTTCGCCATCACTGACCTAGATGTTTAGTTTTTGCCAGAAATGATCCCTCGGAAGCGACAGTAGGACTTGAACCCAGGCCTGGGAAGGGTGGAGGGCTTGGCTTGGTACCATACCTTCACACACACACACACACACACACACACACACACACACACACACAGAGTGTACCAAATGTAAAGCAATCTGCTAGCTGATGAGAGCTAAAGAGCTTGAAATAGCTATACTAATCTCCCTTTAACTCTTTGTCAGTCACAAAATTTTGAATATATATTTTGAATATATATTTGTTTGAAAAACAAAACAAAAAAAAGAATATATATATGTCTGTGTGTGTGTGTGTGTCTATTGCTGTGTGTGTGTGGACCATCCCTTTCGGGGAAAAAGATCCACCTTGCTGCCCAACGATTCGGCAGCTTTGATCCAGAGAGGCCGATGCCCAACTTGCCAGGGGGAAAGAGGGCAAATTTCGGAGGGTCCCTACTTCTTCTTCCTCCCAAGGAGACACAGCAAGCGGTTCTCTCCTCCCCACGACCCTGCGAGGTAGGTTAGGCTAAAAGCAGGAGAGTGACCAGCCTGAGGCCACCCCGTATTTTAAGGCTGAGCAGAACTTTGGAGCTGCGTTTTGTCCACCCGGACACGTTCCAGCCAGCGTCCACCAACATCCCCCCCCCTCAAAAAAAACCAAAACCCCTTAGAAGCAGGAAATGTAGACGTTTTGAGCTCTTCCTGGACTGGCAAAGGGCATCACGGATGATTTTAAATTGGATTTTTTTTTTCCCGGGGGTCCCTTCCGGGGATGCAAGGGAGATTTTGGGAGGGTCTTCTCTGGATGCAAAGGCAGCGTGGTTGGGGTGATTGCTTGGGGCTTGGGGTGTTCCCACTGGGTCTGGGAGAGATTGAGAAATGGGGCAATTCAGGGGCAAAGGACACCCCCCCCTTCTCCAGGATCTTAATTTCACTCCCTCTGGCCAGGCTCCCCAAATGCCTTAGAGGAGAGATGAACAACAATCACAATAAATTCTTGGAAAAAGGAAAAAGAAAAGCAGGGTCGTTTTTGTTTAAACGTGAGCAGTGAGCCCTTTCCTTCCTTCCTCCTCCTCCTCTTCCTCCTCCTCCTCCTTTCATTTTTTTTTAAATGGTAGAAAAGCAATATGTAAAAGTAGCAATTATTTTGCACGGCGTTTCTCTTATGTCACACAACCATTACACGTTAACATTTCTACAGTGAAAAAATAGACTGTCTTTAAACATAATATGAACAAATAAGTAGGCTTTTTTTTTGTAAATTCCTTGACATATTCTTTTGTATTTTTTTTACATATTTTTTAAAAAAAGGAGAAAAAAAATTACACTATTAAAAAAAAAAAAAAAGGAGACCCAGGAAATAAAAAAATAAGAAATAAATGTCACTTATAAGAGAGTTACATCGATACCTTTTTTTTTTTTAAAGAAAGCCACTGGGTGGTGGGGGCCTAACCCTTACCCGAATCCTTGCAGTCTGTCTATTCTGCCTGGATCGTGTCCCTATTTGGAACATTAAGGGAGCCCACGCGGGCTTCCTCTGTCCCCAAAATCCACAGGCCCTCTTCACATCTGCCATTTTTCTCTTTGGCATCAGGGAAGGAAGGCAAAGTTAAAACGCCCACAAAAATAAATGAGAGCAACAACAACAAGGACGAGGAAAAAAAAAAAAAGAGATTAGTTTGGATGGGCTAAGGGAATCAGAAAAGCAGGGGGGGGGGAATTCCTAAAAAAACAAAAGAAAACGAAACGAAACGAAAAAGAAATTGGAACTCGTGTGAAATGTACTTCAAATCTCCCCGGCCCCCACTCTTTTTGGAATCTGGAGAACAGAAGATAACCTGGAACTGCCTTGGCAGATTTCCCAAAAATTCAGAGTTTAGTTTGCCTGTGGGTGGGTGGCAGAAAAGAAATTGGAACTCGTGTGAAATGTACTTCAAATCTCCGTGGCCCCCCATTCTTTTTGGAATCTGGAGAACAGAAGATAACCTGGAACTGCCTTGGCAGATTTCCCAAAAATTCAGAGTTTAGTTTGCCTGCGGGCGGGGCGGATGGGCGAGCGGCAAAATACTGTGGATTTTTTTTTTTGCAAAATGTGAAATGCCTGGGGGGGTGGGAGGACTCGTTTTATTGCCTGTTCTGGTTTGCTTTTTGACGTTAGGAGGTCTTGCAGTGGTAAAAGAAGAGGAATGTTGCAAGTGTTGGAAAAGCTAAGTTGAGAAAGAAGCCGCAGGACAGCCAAAAAAAAACAAAACAAAAACCCCATGGTGTGTGTGGAAACAGAATCCTGCCACCCCCTTGACCGAATGCAAAATTTTGCTTTGTTCGCCTCTGAATTTTGCACGGCTAAAGTGGCTTCCTTTAAGTCCGCCCGTGAAGAGTAATAGGTCAACCGAACCCTAATATATTACTGGTTGGGGCCAATTTCTTCCCTTGCTATTCTCCCCATCAGCTCTTTAGTTTCTCTCTCTTTCTCTGTGTGTATCTCTGCTTCTTGACCACGGTTTTCTCCAACCGGACGGCTGTTCTCCAAGGTATGTGGACGAGGCCGGCATCTGCCGCAACAGGAAAAAGTTCAGTACGGTCCCTGGTTCAGTTGCACCGCGGTCCCTGTGTGCTCCCCACACCGTCATCGCCAGATGAGGTAAGGACAAGTTCGCCACTTAAAAAGATGGAAAAGAAGAAGAAGGGAAAAAAAAAACCCACCCTGGAGATGCTCTGGGGTTTCCAAACACAGGCCGAGAGTCCCTTTCGGAGAGGCCGTGGCGCTTCGGGAGAAAGAGGCCGGCGTTGCAGTTGGGCTCTCCCCCGGCGTCTCCTCCCTGGCAGAGCATCCGAAACGGGTGGATAGGGGAGGCAACTGTTTTTTGTTTTTTTTTCTGATTCAGTCTGTAGGTGTTTAAGAAAGGTCGAGGCTAGCTTCGCATCGGTCGCTCAAACAGGAGCCTTGCAGGCTGAAAAAAGTGTTAGGAGTCTGCACAACGAATGGCTTTTGTGAAACTTTTCCTTTTCCTTATTATGTTGCATAGTGGTCGAAGCTTCCCAGGTATTCCAGGGCGGCCTGGTAGCAGAACTGGTATTCGTCCTGGGAGGGCAAGGAAGAGAGAGGAAAGGGGTTAACGGCCAGGCAGGGTTTGCTCAATTCCTTGCTTATTTATAAAATTTATAATTCAATTTATTTACTTTATTTCTTTGCGTCCTGCCTTTACTGTTTGTTCAAGCAAATAGTAAAATATCCAACGCAATTTCTATCTCTCCTGTTTTCTCCACCACAACAACCCGGTGAGGTGGATTGGGCTGAGGGAGAGGGACTGGCCCAAAGTCACCCAGCTTTGACTTACGTGGCTAAGGCGGGATTAGAACTCACCGTCTCCTGGTGATTGGCCCAAAGTCACCCAGCTGGCTTTCGTGGCTAAGGTGAGACTAGAACTCACCGTCTCCTGGTGATTGGCCCAAAGTCACCCAGCTGGCTTTCGTGGCTAAGGCGGGACTAGAACTCACCGTCTCCTGGTGATTGGCCCAAAGTCACCCAGCTGGCTTTCGTGGCTAAGGCGGGACTAGAACTCACTGTCTCCTGGTGATTGGCCCAAAATCACCCAGCCGGCTTTTGTGGCTAAGGTGAGACTAGAACTCACTGTCTCCCTGTTTCTAGCCTGATGTCTTATTGTCTTACTACTTTAAACTTTTATAATTTAGTTTATCGGATTGTAAACTGCCCAGTTTTGTGTGCAAGTGAGATAGGCAGCGGTAGATTTTGATAAAATAAATAAATTGCCCTACAAACGCATAACAAGCCAAAATGAAGCAGTTAGAGACCCACGCAGGTTCTTGTTTATTGGACCTGTAAAGTGGGTGCTGCCTTGAAGATCTCTGGCGGACCAGGCTGAAGAAAGCGCACAGGATCCATGCCACATTGGGGAGACTCCTGTCCAAGTGGGAATTTGAACTCTGGGCTCACCGAGCCCTGGCCCTGCCTGGGCTGGCATCTATCTGCAGGAGGTGGCTTGTAGAAATAGCTTGGAGCATCCTAAAGACCCCACGGATTGAGGAGTGGAAGGCATTCAGCTGGATCTTGTGGGCTTTCCCCGAAAGCTGAGGTCGAAATGTGCAAGATTTTGATGGAAAGGGGGTGGAGCTTTGATCAACACGTGTGCCCGGATTGGCCGATTTTGCCCCTGTTCCTCCTAGGAATTCACTGATGGGCCTGCACCCAGCATGCAAGAACCTGGAGACAGGTACCAAATTATTCTCATCCCACTAGGCCAGGGGTAGGCAACCTTGGCTCTTTTAGGACTCGTGGACTTCAACTCCCAGAATTCCTGAGCCCGCATGGCTCAGCTTGGGAACCTCCCCCTTTTCCCTCAGCATGGCTGGCTCAGGAATTCTGGGAGTTGAAGTCCACGAGTCATAAAAGAGCCAAGGTTGCCTACCCCTGGTCTAGAGATTTCTCTTCCTCTTTTGAAAAACACAAGTCCGATATTGGTTTGACCTCTAAGAGGGTTTCCCAGCGTCCCCACCTCCTGTCCGAGGAAGATCCTGCATGCGAATCTACACGAAGCCTCCCAGCTTTTGCTACCTCGCAGGAGGAAAGGGCCCTCCAGGAAAGGGGCGACGGATCGTCCTCGATGGCCATCCCCAGCCTGGTCCCCAATTTTGGAGCAAGGAGGCAGTCAGGGGAAGGGGGGGTGGAGGTAGCGCTGTTGAGGAGGGGTCATAGGAGACGCGCCAATCCCCCTTCTTTCCCCTGGCCCAACCCTTCCGAGTCTTGGGGCGAGTCCCAAGGGAAGCCCTCCTCCTCACCTCTGTCTGCACCATGGCGGGCCGTTGTGTCCTCAGCATCTTCACGGTCTGGAAGATGTCCACCACCCCTTCGTAGCGCATCCTCTCCAGCACGATGCTTAGCGTGATGAAGACGCCGGTCCTGCCTACTCCCGCACTGCCGAGGAAGAAGAGAGGGGCATCAGTGTGTGTGTTTGTGTGTGTGTGTGTGTAGGGCAGTGGTTCTCAACCTGTGGGTCGGGACCCCATTTGGGGTCGATCGACCATTTCATGGGGGTCGCCAAGCAAGGCTGTCCGCCATTTTTTTTTGTCCATTTTTTTTGTCCGCCATTTTTTTCCCCCTTTTCCGGCAGGTGCCTTACCTCCCTTGGGCTGAGCCAGCTGGTGGTCGGCCTACTCCATCTCTGCCGCTTGCCAGCTACGCCTCAGCCGGCGCAGGGGGCGGAACCACGCATGCGTGGCGTTCCCGGGCAGGGAAAGTCCTCGACTTACGACCGGTTGGGTAGTCCTCGACTTATGACCGGTTTAGTCCTCGACTTACGACCGGTTTAGTCCTCGACTTACGACCGGTTGGGGTCACGGCATTAAAAAGGTTGAGAACCACTGGTGTAGGGGCTGCGAGAAACCCATTGACTGCCTTCTTTCGCAAGGCTAGGCGTGGAGAAGACATTCGTAAGCTGCCTCAGTCCAAAGAGGCTGGACTACAAGTTCTCTCATTCCCAGCAGGGTTGCCAAGACAGGAGAATTAGGGCAAGAGGCGGGCCTTTAAAGAAAGGCACTCTTTAAAGCAGCTGCCTCCCCCAGCCACAGCACAATCCTGAGAAAGGACACCGGCGGTTTTCATGAGCCGCCGATGCAAAGTCTAGCACAGTCTCACTAATTCTGCCTGCCAGCCCTGGCTTAATCCGCCTGCCAATGAAACTCAAGGCCCCCAAACACAATGAGGGCTAATAGAAGGCTAATTAAATTCAGTCCAGCCTGGGACCATCTTTTCTGGCAGGTACCGAGGTCAATAACATGGTGCTGTCCAAATCTTTCACGTATCCATTTCTTGGAGCAAAAGCAAACACTAAACTCCTACCGGCCACTGGGTCAGAAGGCAAAAAGGGAAGGAACAGAGTCTATCCTATCCTATCCTATCCTATCCTATCCTATCCTATCCTATCCTATCCATATCATTCCATTCCTTATTCCATTCCATTCTTGTATTTTATTATAGAATAGAATAGAGATGATGATAATAATAATAATAATAATAATAATAATAATAATAATAATAATAATAATAATAATAATAATAATAATAATAATAATAATAATAATAATAATAAAGTTGGAAGGGACCTTGGAGGTCATCGAGTCCAACCCCCTGCCCAGGCAGGAACCCTACACCATTTCAGGGATCTTGGAGGTTTTCTAGTCCAGCCCCCTGCTTAAGCAGGAGAACCTATACCATCTCAGACAAGTGGCTATCTAGCCTCTTCTTAAAAATCTCCAGTGATGGAGCGCCCATGATTTCTGGAGGCAAGCTGTTCCTGTTAATTGTCCTCACTGTCAGGAAGTTTCTCCTTAATTCCAGGTTGCTTCTCTCCTTGATCAGTTTCCATCCTTTGCTTCTTGTCCTGTCTTTGGGTGCTTTGGAGAATAACGTGACCCCCTTTTCTTTGTGGTAGCCCCTCAAATACTGGAACGTTGCTATCATGTGACCCCTATTTCTTCTTTTCTTTAGATTAGCCAGACCCAAGTCCTGCAGCCGTTCTTCATATGCTTTGGTCTCCAGGCCTTTGGTCGTCTTAGTTGTTCTTCTCTGAACTTTTTCCAAATTCTCATCATCTTTTTGGTCATATGGTGACCAAAACTGGCTGCAGTATTATATTTAAATTTATTTAAATATAATTTATTATACTTTATTATATTTTATGGTAAGACCACACTTCGAATATTGCACCAGTTTTGGTCACCACAATTTTAAAAAATATTTGAGACTCTGGAAAGAGTGCAGAGAAGAATAACAAAGATGATAAGGGTACCAGAGGCTAAAATATATGAAAAACAGTTGCAGGAATTGGGTACCTCTAGTCTAGTGAAAAGGACTAAGGGTGACATAATAGCAGTCTTCCAATACTTGAGGGGCTGCCCCAAAGAAGAGGGAGTCAAGCTATTCTCCAAAGCAACTGAAGGCAGGACAAGAAGCAGCGGATGGAAACTAATCAAGGAGAGAAGCAACCTAGAACTAAGGAGAAACTTCCTGACAGTGAGAACAATTAACCAGTGGAACAACCTGCCTCCAGAAGCTGTGAATGCTCCAACACTTTAAGAAGAGATTGGGCAACCATGTGTCTGAAATGGTATAGGGTCTCCTGCTTGAGCAAGGGGTTGGACTAGAACAGGGCTTTTCAACCTTTTCACCCATTGTACCACTTTTAGGATATGGCAACATCCGAGTACCACCAGTCACCTAACAAGGTGTCAAAAACTTGATGACCAAAAATAAAAGGAAAAAAGTGATGAAGTACAGGTAGTCCTTGACTTACAACAGTTCGCTTAGTGACTGTTCAAAGTTACAATGGCACTGAAAAAAGTGTCCCCCAAGCCACAGCCGAGCAAGACACCTGCCTGCCCACCCGGCCGTGCTCCTCCTCCTGTCCGAGGTTTTCATTGTTGTGAGCATTTCTGTTGAGGATTGGCAGCGGGGGTGGGGTGGGGGGTGTTTGGTTTTTATTCCACCACACACNCTCCCGGAGGACTCAGGGCGGCTTACAGCCAGTTTAAAACAGTGATACAATACAAAATTTAAAAAGATTAAAAATAACTATTTAAATTTGGCCGCTTCTACTAAAAATTTAATTTAAAACCCCTTTAAAATACCCCTAGGCCAGTCCTGCCTGCTGAAATAACCAGGTCTTAAGGGCGCGGCGGAAGGAGGGGAGATCCTCCTCCTCCTCCTCCTCCTCCTCCTCCTCCTCCTCCTCCTCCTCCTCCTCCTCTGTACAACCCCCCACCCTTGTAGCACTGATGATGCTACTTATTTGGCTAATGAAACATCTACAACAACCAATTTCAGAGAGCACCAAAGGCCTCCTCGCAGTTCAGCCCTCAGCTACCATTTCTCCTTGATTGGTAAACAACAGCCCGCCGTAATCTCCTATTCCCCAGAGCTGTAGGAAACAGAGTTTAAAGCTTCGCAATTTACCAAGAGGTCAACATCGAACCGTTGAATGGGCTATTTAGCCAGTTAGTTCCTCTCCGCTCTGCAAAGAAATCCTTTACGAATTAACAAGCCTGGCGAAGAAATGCGAAGAAATGCAACCAATGGAGGAAAGGGCTTCTGGCTCATCGGCAGGTGAGCAGGAAATCGGGACTAAAAGCTGCTCACCGTTTACGTTTTAGGGGAAGTGGGCGGAGGGGAAGCGAAGGAGCAGAACAGAACGGCCCAACGATATAATTTTAGCTCCGGGAAGGGAAATACTAAAACGCCCGGGGACTAACGATCTGCCCGGCACGGAGAGCGGTAAAGAGGTCAGCGACGCCTGTGGTGCAAAATAAAATTCGCGGCCGTTAAGATGCTCCTTTTTCAAAGGACGTTCGGTGTCTCTGCAATGGGAATGGCCCAGTTTTTCAGCTTGAGTCCCGGGCTAAAGGACAAATCCTGCCGGAGATGGGACCTATCCAGAGCCATCTGCAGGAACCGGATGGCAAGATGGAAGCTGGGGCCCTGTGACCCAAACGCTGCTTTGCTCGCCCCGTTGCAGCCGACATCTTGACTTTTATGACCCTCTTCCCCTGCTGATTGCCAAGGACACATCAGCTTTTAATCTAAACCAGGGATCTTCAAACTCGGCCCTTTTATGACTCGTGGACTTCAACTCCCAGAATTCCTCAGCCAGCATAGCTCAGCTTGGAAACCTCTCCCTGTCCCCTCAGCGTGCCTGGCTGAGGAATTCTGGGAGTTGAAGTCCACATGTCATGAAGGGGCCATAGTTCCCCCATGCTAGTTCCCCATAGTTCCCCCGCTGCCAATCCTCAACAGAAATGCTCACAACAACAAAAACCTCGGACAGGAGGAAGAGCGCCACCAGGTGGGCAGGCAGGTGTCTTGCTCGGCTGTGGCTTGGGGGGCACTTTTTTTCAGTGCCATTGTAACTTCTAAGAGTCACTAAGCAAACTGTTGTAAGTCGAGGACTACCTGTACTTTATCACTTTTTTCTTTCTTTTTCTTTTTTTGGTCATCAAGTTTTTGAGACCTTGCTAGGCGACTGGTGGTACGCGGCTGTTGCCATATCCTAAAAGTGGTACAATGGGTGAAAAGGTTGAAAAGCCCTGCTTTAAATCACAGGTTTGTTCCAGCCTCATGTATGAGGGGGGCTATATTTCCATCTCCCGCAGCAGGTAGGAAAATGTTCGGTGTTTGGGGAAAGAAAGAGGTGCTTTGGCTGTATATATATATATATACCTGCAGTGGACCGAAATGGGCCCGTCTTGTCCAAACTGCTCCTTCGTTTTGTGCACCTGCCCGATGAAATCGATAAAGCCTTCCCCGGATTTTGGCACACCTTGTTCCGGCCAGTCGGTGAACTGGAACTGACGCACGGTTCTTGATTGGCCGTCCTGGGGGAAAACAAAACAAAACAAAACAAAAAAGGCAGAGTTGAAGATGTAAAAACAGAACTAGTACAAGAGAAATAAATAAGTTCTCAAACCTGAATGAATGCAGGTAGTCCTCGACCTGCAGCCATTCGTTTAGCGACTGTTTGAAGTTACAAGGGCACTGGAAAAAGTGACCTACGCCTGGTCCTCACACTTACGACGCTTGGCTAACCGTGTGTTCAGGACAGTTGCACCGTCCCAAGGTCATGGGATAGACTACTATACTGTATTATTAATTGGTTGATGTAAGAATGGTGAGAATTCAAATAGATAAGATGTGTATCCTGAACATTAGATCTTGTGATGAATTGTGATAAGGGGAATTGGGGTTATTTAAAACTTGGAAATCATAAATATCAAACGTCAAATATAAATATTAATGGGAAATTAAAAATTGGGGGGAAATTAACCAGGACATGGATTGTCTAAAAANACAGTTCGCTTAGTGACTGTTCAAAGTTACAATGGCACTGAAAAAAGTGTCCCCCAAGCCACAGCCGAGCAAGACACCTGCCTGCCCACCCGGCCGTGCTCCTCCTCCTGTCCGAGGTTTTCATTGTTGTGAGCATTTCTGTTGAGGATTGGCAGCGGGGGTGGGGTGGGGGGTGTTTGGTTTTTATTCCACCACACACACCCCCGTCTGCTGGGTGGTTGCAGCAGATTTTGCTCACTTCACATGACCCTGGGACACTGTGACCGTCATAAATATGAATCCGTTGCCAAGCATCTGAATGTAAATCATAAGACCTTGGAGATGCTGCAACATTCCAGCTGATCGGCGCTTCTTCTGGGCTCAGCAGAAGCACCAGGATCAGCGCCGAGCTCCAGCTGGAGCCTGGCACTGATCCTGGTGCTTCCGCTGAGCCCTGACAGCCCTGCAGCTCCAGCCGTTTCTCGCTCAGGCTTGTGCGGTGCCATCGGTTCAGCTCATTCCCCTCCCCCGCTACCACTTTCCTAGGATGGTCGCGTACCACCTGCCAGGTGCCAATGTACCACAGGTGGTACCCGCACCACTGGTTGAAAAGCCCTGGTCTAGAAGACCTAATATTCTTATTTAAAATGATAAAAAAAATAATATTTTAAGTGTTAAGCTGCCCAGAGTAGCTTTTCAGAATGAGACGGTCGGGATATAAATTTAATAAATCAATAACGCAAAGGGTCTCAAAGCTTTTGGGAAACAGTTGTGTACGCTGCCGCCTACGCAGTCAGCATCCCCTGTCCCCCCTCCCCATTTGAGGCAGAGGATGCCAAGGAAAAGCAGCTTGCCTAAAAAAAGAATTGAGAGTGAATCAGAAGACGAAGACCTGCAAACGTGTGTGTAGGAACTACAGAGCCAACAGCTTGTCAATTTAATCCCCCCATCCCGGTTCTGGGTTGGATTTGCGAGATTCCTTGGGGTTTATCCAGCCAGGAGCAGAGGTAGAGAAGCAGATGGTGTCTGCCACCCACGAGACGGGATCCCTCAGGGCCAAGGTGGGATCCCACAAGCCTAGGCAGAGAATCTGTAATCTGCCTATAGTCACCGAAAGCTTTAATCATAGATTAGCAAGCAACGTCTGGGGAATCTTATCTCCTGGAAGCTGGAGGGCTCCCCACCCCTTGGGGTGTCTTAGGAAAAAGCTGGATGGGTTCTGTGTCCCCGAGATGCTCTTCTGAGTAGTTTGGAGTGGAAAGGTGAACAGAGACCAATGTGATCTGATCACTCCCATCTAGCACTGATGATGTTACCTAGTTGGGTAATGAGACGTCTGCAAGAAAACAACCCAGCTCAGAGAGCACCAAGGACACACAGCTCCTCCTCCTCCTCCTCCTCCTCCTGCTCCTCTGTACAACCTCCCCACCTTGTAACACTAATGATGTTACCTAGGTGGGTCATGAAACGTCTGCAAGAAAGCCACCCAGCTCAGAGAGCACCAAGGACCCCACAAT